TGTACAATTTTGCCCATGTATGGATATAAGTTGTTTCTATCTACTTCGAGCCGAACTGGAGTTGTTTTAATTCCACCCAGACGAAATAGACGCGTGCACGGCTGAGTTACATGAACTTGGATAAACTGGATGCGATTGCTAGCAGAGAAACTTACGCGACACACGACTGCTGCCAGAAGACTACAATAATTGGTCATTAAATATGTTCATTTCCGTTATATAATGTATTCTATCATCCTCATCTGTAATGGCCTAAGCGAAAATTGTATCCAAATGCCCCAGGTCATACATGTTTCCATCATCTGTCATCAGCCCAAATTGATCCTGGCTATCAGTCATGTTCGCCACACCATTAGCTCCAAAATCCACCGGCGACTCGAACAACCCATCTGAGAGAATAGCTTCACTGTCTCCCGAAGGAAGCAGCCCGTCTAGTATCCTTGGATTATGGCCGCCACTTACACCATCCGGCTGACTGTTCACAGCAGAATCCACCTGTAATCCCATGTTCCACTCAGTGCCATGAAGGTGATTCGCTCTAACCATTGCTTTCGCCCTTTTCAAAAGCTGACTGCAAATCTCATAATTCTCCCTACTAGCCTTCCCACTATCCCACCGCCGAAAAGCCCTCTCCACAACCCCCCAACTAGCATCCAGCACCTTCAGTCTCGAACTATGGCACAGTTCTTGAAGAGCAAACCTCAACGGACAGAACTGCATATACGCTTCCAACGACCAAATCCACTGCGCTGCTTCCGGCTCCCTCGCCAGCCGCCGCGCAATGTCAAGAATATCGATGGCCGCGAAAAACAGCGACTGCCGTGTCTCTGTGTAAGGCCCAGCCCAAATGGAAGGATTGGAGTATGCCTTGAATCGTAGTTCCATGACAAGAACGTAGGCGACGTGTTGTGCAAGCCAGTGGATAGGTTTACTGCCGTCACAGTATCTCAAGTACTGAGAGTGAATGCGCTGCTCACAGGCGTCTATTTCTGCTTCTTTCCGGTCGAGCTGATGTATGTTGTCGACGAGGACCGCGGTTCGCGCAACGTCAGCCTGTGTAAGTGCGAAACTCATATCTGTCCAGCCTGTTTGGGTTATGAGGTGTGGTAACTTGTCCGAATGGAGATCCGCATCATTTGTATTTGTAGGTGCGAACGGGAGAGAATTCAAGCATGGCGGCTTGGAGATATGTCCGAGATCAGAATATGCTCTGTAATCCATGTACCATAGTTCATAGATTAAACGCTTTCGTAGTTCTTTCTCGAGCGGAGTCAATGTTGATCGGAGAGAGGATGTTAATTGTTCTACGAGGGCTGATAATGCCCATACACGTCGGGCTTCGTCTGCATAGCGATCCAGTGATAAGGATAAAACAAATCCTTGCAGGACTATGAGATCGTCTGTTGCTACTACATTCGAACGAAGTAGCGCGTGCTCCAAAGCGCCTTTGTATGTTGCAAGTGCCGAGAGTTTCGATATGCCAAAGTTTGCTTGGACGGCGTCGGGTGACATGGTGAATATAACGGCGAGGTAGACGCCAAATAAGACGATGTGCTCTCCCTTGCTCAGTGCGTGCGTTTTATGTACCCCCTTTTGCAGAATTAATTCCGTGGTTTGCAAATGTAGTACTTTGATGAGAGGGTCGATATTATTGGAGAAGATTTGCCAGCATAGAGTTACTGTTTCGACCCGTGGTTGTAAAATGTAAGAATTCGTGCCAAATACATCGAATGGAACTGTTTGCAGCCTGGTCACCGATTTCTCCGAAACATTGTAAGTATGCCTCTTCTCATCCCGTCGCGCCGTTGCGTCTTTTGTAGTAACTACCTGTCGTAGTGTCCCCGTAATATTCTCAAGTTGGCGACAAATATCTCGTATCTGATCCTGTTGGTTGGGACTTATTAAGTCGGAGCCCAGACTATCCTTAAGCAGTATCAAATCTTCAATGAGGTCTTGATGGGGAGCGGCCAATGTTAATTCCAACTTTGGTTTCGATGTGTGGCTCTTCGGCATCCTTTTCGACACTTCTCGTTTCGTACGCCGACTGCATGTTCGTACCGGAGACGGAAATATACACTTTATATCCCATTTTCCGCAATTTTCGCAAGGCGTTTTCCTATCGCATTTTACTTTGCGAGTCCGACAAGGAATGCACACCTTTGGCTTAAACACTACCACACTCTCCGTTGTCGCGTTCTTCTCAGCAGCCGGTCTAAGAGGACGCATAATGAACTGCCTGGACATGCAGAATACATGGATAAGTTTGGCAATGTCATTCTTTTCGCACATGAATCATTTTCTAATTTTTAATGATATATGTTGAAGACGGAATGATTATCTAGCCGCAAGATTGCGGTTTGTGACTTACCGGCCGGCAATCGGGCCGTCGGATGAACGAAACCCGTCTTGGAACTGGGCTGAGCAACAGCGTCTTACTTGCCCGCAAATCTCGCAAATCTCGGGAATCTGACAATTCTGAGTATCTGATTGGTCAGCTTAAGTTGTGAATGGTGGCAGGTACATGGCTGCATGTTCAATTATGCTTATTACGGACGTCACCAGTATCTGAATGAATGGGATTTACTATGACTCTTACATGCGGCCAATTGTTGTCGTGCCGAAGTAATCGCCAACGGTACGGAGGAAATGAAACAGAATAATAGCTACTCTCGGAAGCTACTTTGCTCCGTATAAGCTCGTTCAGTCAGTATATAAGTCGGAGCTGTGCAACTGTAACAAACTGCAGAAACATCAATTCTTCTCAGAGCGGTCTTCTTTGTATTAGATATTGCAGCCGAAGAAAGCATTCCTTTACTCAACATGGCCTCACAGTTCAACCCGAACATTATATATGCCGACCTCCCCAAAGTCCCCTCCCTGGCCAAGACCCACGGTATCCTCATGGGTTTGACCTTCGCCGTGATTCTCCCACTCGGCGCCCTCCTCATTCGAATCCCCAATGTGAAATACGGGGTTTGGATACACGCAGGATGGCAGCTCATCGGATGGGCATGCATGATAGCCGGCATGGTCATGGGCATCCGTATGGGAAATATTCTAGACAGGGTAAGTTACGAACAGCTACTCTGCAACATGTACTTCTCTTATGATATGGTATTGATGCTAACGTTTGGAATAGCTGCACAACAATGCACACACCATTCTGGGCACCATCATCGTCGTTGCGCTATTGATCCAGCCTTTCCTTGGGTATATCCACCACCGACGGTTTATGAAAACCCAACGAAAGGGCATATGGACGCGCATTCATGTGTACTACGGACGGGTGCTGCTGATCTTGGGAATAATAAACGGTGGTTTGGGATTGCAGCTTGCTTCTGACTCTCCCGCCTACAGTCGCGCTGGGGAAATCGCATACTCGGTCGTCGCAGGAGTAGCAGGGCTTATGTTACTTGCAATTATGGCGTTTACTTTTAGGCAATCGTCGAAAACTGCAAAGACTTAGCATGAAGCACCTTCAAGTTAGGCAGCGAGTCTTATTTTAACGTTATGAGACTCATTGTTAACTAAGCTTCTCCATAAAATCATTATTCTTGTTGTTCCGAGTGCCGCAGACTCCGTCTGCAGCTCTCTTTTTAATATCAAAAACTTCCTTTCGTCCGAACCTGTTTTTCGGCTAGGTTGAGTCATGTTAACCGACATTATGACAGATGGAAATTACACCGAGTCTTCTTGTTTATCAACAGAGGCAGTTTTATCCGACAATATGAAAATGAGACCTGCTGATGCTGGTGATGAGGGAAGGCGCGACGCCGGATGGTCAACACTCTAGTGCCTGGCTAGGCCGGTAGCAGGAACAAAACTGTACCGGACGTAGTCAATAATGCCACAGGCAAAGAAACCAGTGCGGTTAGCAACCACACAAGCGGCCAAGGTACAAGCAATGGAATGGATGTGCTTCGACGTCAGCTCTCCGTACTACGGTCTCGATGACAATTTCCAGGCCACAGATGGCGGCGGAAAATACGGAACGGCATATGACGAATGGTAAATGCGACGAATAAATGGGAGCTTATGAGGATAAGGTGCCTACGAATATTGAGTCAGTGGTATACCGGTACAAAAGCTTCAACGCGGCGGGTGACTGTGACGGTACAAGGGCACGTGTCACGTTATGAGACTCATTGTTAACTAAGCTTGTATTACAAAATTATTGATGTTTTTTCGTCGTGGTGCTGCAGACTTTGTCTGCAGCCCTCTGCTTAATACCAAAAACCTTCCTTTCGTCCGAATTTAACTTTCGGCTAAGTTTAGTCATGATAGCCGACGCCATGACATCCAGAATTACACCAAGCTCTGCGACTTCAGTCTACAGAGGCATTATCTGACAGATGCCGAAAATTGCATCCCGTTCTGGAATCTGTTCTGCGCCCGCAAAATTCTGATTTCGCCCAAGCGCTGCCGGAGCAGTAAAACGACTGGGGGGAGATGAAGGATGGTGATTGTGGTTGCGTGTTAAGGGACAGGGACAGACAGCCACGTTAACGTCCTGCCTGGAAGCAGTACGGGACACAAGAGGTCCGTGGCTATGCACCCCCGCATATGGCGCAGGTTTTCCGACCGTGTTGCATCTTGTTGCTTCTCAGAAAATAAAACAGAACGACCGAAAATCGAGATGAGTTAGGGACTCAGCCCGAGGGTGACTAGGCCTCTATATTCATCAGTTACTGCCATGCGTGACAAGATGGAAACCCCATCACGTCCAAAAGGCAAGAAACTTCCTTTCAAGACAACGGCTTTGTGCAAGGTGTCTTCACAGAATGGCGAGACAATCCATGATGACAAACTGTCTGTAACGGGCTGAGCCCGATATTGCTCGGCTTGCACTCTCGCCTTCGGTCCCGGCCGGGGGCCGGGACCCATCCATAAGCGAGATTAACCACGTGTCGAGCTCAGGAGCTCAGGAGCTCCTCGAGCTCTCCTTTTCTTATTCTGTTTTCTCTTTCTTCTTTAGCGTTTAGATACTCGTAGTAGTCGCCTAGCTAGTTGTCAATATACTCAGCTGGGACCGTTACATCTTGGCTCACAATACAACCTGTGTGTAAAATACTACGCCACCCCTTGCATTTTAGAGCCGTGGTGCAAGGGGTAGAATCATCCGAAGGCTGAGAGTCCGCGGGCCAACACATCATCAACGTAAAGATATAGGTTACTGAAAGTTTTTTTTTTTTTTTTT